TCCTCCTCGTCCTCATCCTCCTCCTCCTCCTCATCATCATCATGATCAGCATCACCATCAACATTCAACGTACTCACCAGCATCACTTCTCTCCATCATAATGCGGTCAGGAACTTTTGTTTATCGTTTCGCTCGGAAAATATTGGAAAGTTGACGCTATAGGCGGCAAAAGACAACGTGTCGCGCCGACGCGCGGTGGGCCAGAACTGGCGGAGCGACACGCTATCCAAGAGTTCCCGATCGTAGTCAGCATCGCCATCATCACCACCATCCTCCTCACCATCACCACCACAAACATCATCCTTCGCGACGTCGTCCTCCATCTCTCTTCCTTTGCAATAACTCCTCCCTGTCCCAGCCCTAGGCCGGTCGACTGGGCGGAAGGGCGTTTCGCCTGAGATTTCGCCACCACTTATGGCCCTGAGGCTTGAAGATTTGCATCAGATTCACGGATGGAGGGCGGCCCGCTTTCAAAATGTGGCTCTCGCCTTCACGCCGCGCACATTCGTTTTGAAGCACAACAGGAGTTTAACGAATGGAGCGAAGCGAAGCGAGGCGAAACCTGCAATCGCTTGTCAGAAACCGGCGGCCCGTGCGGGTGGCAGGCACACCTTCGCCGGGATGCGGTCCCTGGACAGGACCAGAGGGCAGCAGCTTGGCTCAGAGGTTCTTGCGCGTCACAAACTCACGTTGGCGCTCGCTCTACATGTTCAGGTTATCAGCCGTTTGGAACCACCATTCGCAAGCCTTCTCGGAAACGAAAATCACCACATCATCTTCCCATCTGACGAAGCATCCCGGTCGTGAGCGGGTTCGGCACGATGCGGTTCCTTTCGGCTGCGCTATCCACCAATCATGGTCTCTCCATGCTGTCACACGTCTCGCCCACCTGTCTATAAGCATGCTCGCAGTTTTCCCCGCCCATCAGCAGTTGGCTGGGCTTCGACCAGCATTGTGTGTTGCTTTTGTTTTGCGCTGGCCCCTGCAATCGTTGTGGCTGGCTTGATCCATGTCACGTAATCTTCGTTAGCGTCTTTCTTGGGTCCAGCCATTCGTCGCAGCATCTGTCGATTTGTGTTCTGCAGCTTCCTATTTTGCTTCGCTGTGGGTTCCCATGTCGCTGCGCACCACAACACACTTCTTGAGACAGTGGCACCGAAGAGACGGAAACATCGAGCCTCAGACGTTTCTTTTTCAGCGAACAACGGGGGTGAACTAAAGAACTTCGCCCAGCCCCTCTTCAGCAGAGCCTAGGACTCACTTTGAATCCTTTGTCGCAGCAAAGTGGGCTTGACACTTTAGCGAAACTGATATTCTTGTCCAGCAACGCTCTCCTGCCAAAGCACAGGATGTTATATTAGTCTGCGTTCAACTGCAGACCAAAAGTTCCAAACCGCTCTGTAAAGCCAGCTCACAGTTGCCCCAGCGCCTGTCCTGATTCAGCAACACGTAGCGCCGACCGCGAACATCGAGTATGTCATCCTGTCGTCACAAACATATTCTCCCGAAAACAATACCATATACTCCCTTTTCCCATTGTGCACGAAGCTCATACACCGTTTCCCTGATTGTGTTTGTAAGTTGTGCTGGTGATTGTACCGGACGCCACGGAGAATGTGGAAATATCTGCTATTGGTTTGCGTGTCGAAGTGTGCGAAAGCATATTGCCGCGCGTCATAATATTGTATTCCACGTGGGCGGCCCAGCTGCATTGAGACCAGAGAAGATAAGTGTGGCTCTCGCCTGGGCGCCGCGCCGCGTACACCTATCCGAAAAACTAGCAGGACCTTCACGGATGGAGACAGGCGCGCTTTCAGAATGTGATTCTCGCCTTCGAACCGCAAACATTCGTCTTGAGAAACTGCAGGAGCTTCCTGGATGGAGGGTGTTCCTTTTCAGCATGCGGCTTTCGCCCTCGCGCCGCACACACTCGTGTTCAGATTTTGCAGCAATTTCAAGGATTCTCATGGCTAGCGTCCCAGAAATTGTATTTTGGCTTGACGTCGGAATGCCAGGGCGAAACAGTCACGGTGATTCGCGGTGTGGAAAACCCAGGAAGTACGTTCTGGTACGATTCAGGATCGTTCAATCGCAACTCTAACACTTACTCGCGGCGCTGAAGTCCCAAGAATGGTGTTCTGATGCAGTTCCGAATGTTCAAACGGCTGTCTTCCAACGGGGCACTTCCATCAGTGAGAACGAACTCTTGCAGGGGCCTGTGAATACGGAACTCGGAAGAAGGATATATTGCAATCGTTCGGGAATATTGGATTCGCACTGGTCCTCCTCCTCCTCCTCCTCCTCCTCCCCCTCCCCCTCCTAGTCCCTTCTCCCTCCTGGCTGCTGCTGCCCCCCCCTGACGAGCTGGTCACTACTCCTTGTAAAACAAAAAGCACATCCCTGTTACACCCCCACACGTGTCAGTAGGGCAGGCCAGGCGTTTCGCCTGTGCCTTCCTCAACATGTATGATCTTTAAGCTTGGGAATGCCAACAGCTTCAACGATGGAGGGTTTTCAACATGTGGCTCTGGCCTCAGCGCCGCGCACACTCGCCTTAAACATTTGCAGCGTAATGGAGAGTTGGGCCGATTTCAAAATGTGACACTCTCATTGACGCCGCGCATAGTCCTCTTCAAAGCTTGCAGCGACCTCGTGGATGGATGGCGGCTCCTTTTCTAAATGTGTCCTTCCCAATAATCATTGCAGCGGCAACTCGCTTCAAACATGTGCAACCTTTTTAAACATGGGGGGCGAATCATGTTCTAAATGTGGTTATTGTTTCTGCGCCGCGCACACGCGCTTTGATCATTACAAGAGGTCCAGGGGCTCGAATGGTTCAAGTCCCAGGAAGGGTGTTCCTGCACGGATTAGATCTGCCAGGACGCAGCAATCTCGTTAATTCGTGATGGAAAAGTCCCCGGAAAAGCGCTCTGGCACAGTTCAGGACTGTCAGGACGAAACAGTCACGTTGCTCAGCGGAGTTGAAGTCCCAAGAAATGCGTCCTGGCACGATTGATGAGTATCCAGCGGTTGTCTTTCAGTGGGGAACCTCCCGCAGCCGAAGACAATCCTTGTAGGGACACAAGAAGAAAGAACTTGCAGCAAGGGTTTTATTGCATTTGATGCGTCTTGGGTTTACACTCCTCCTCCTCCTCCTCCTCCTCCTTCTCCTCGCACGTAGCCTTAGGTCGGGCGTGTCCCCCTACAGTCGGATTTTGGACGGAAAAAAGGAAGCTGTCAAAACATGCACAGACAATATTCAAACATACTGAAAAAAGTCCCCTGATTGTTCCCTACCCAGGCTCTGCCTAGAAGGGTTCTTACTCTCTAGCTTAAAGGGGCCGGGCAGTGGAAAGCGCCCCGGGCGGTTCCCCCAGTCCCCGCCCCGCGGTTCCCCCAGTCGCGCCCCCTGGGTTCACCCAGCTTAGCTTAGCTAAGCTTAGCTTAGCCTAGCTTAGCTTAGCTTATCTCATCTTAGCTTAGTTTAGCGTTGCCTAGCCTAGCTTGGCTTCTTAGCTTGGCTTAGCTTAGCTTAGCTTGGATTAGCTTATCTTAGTTTAGCTTAGCGTAGCTTTGCTTAGCTTAGTTTGGTTTAGTTTAGCTTAGCCTAGCCTAGCCTAGCCTAGCGTAGCTTAGCATAGCTTAGCTTTCCTTAGCTTGGCTTAGCGCAGCGCAGCATAGCGCAGCGCAGCATTAGCACATCATAGCATAGCATAGCATAGCATAGCATAGCATAGCATAGCATAGCATAGCATAGCATAGCGCAATATAGCATAGCATAGCATAGCATGACATAGCATAGCATAGCATAGCATTGCTTAGCATAGCACAGCGCAGCATATCATAACATAGTAAAGCATAGCATACCCTAACCTAGCCTAGCCGAGCCCAGCATAGCATTGCGCAGCATAGCATACCATATCATACCATACCATAGCATAGCATAGCATAGCAGAGTAGAGCAGAGTAGAGCAGAGCATAGCACAGCATCCACTATTGCTGCTGCTACTGTTGCTTTCCTAGAGGCTCCAACTCCTAGGTAGGGTCGCACTGGGATAATGTTTGACTATTTTTGAATGTCCCCACTGTAGAGGGACACGTCCGATTTAAATGTTGCCCCGATGTGGTCCACTTATCCCCGCCCCTCCTCCTCCTGCTCCGACCCTCGGTGGCTCGGTGATAAGTACGGAATCCTCTGTCCGACCTGGAGCCCTCGGCCCCCCCCGCGACTTGCGGGGGGGGCGGAAGGGGCGAACAGACACCAAGAGGCAAGAAGAGAGAAGGAAGACGGATGGCCGACAAGGTGATGCACCTCGGTACGGGGGGGGAGGTGGGGGCCGGTGGCGCCTGTACTTGCCGGCGCTGTGCGGGTGCAGAGGTGAGTGGAGCATGGGCCCCAGTCTCCCCAGGGGAGCTGGAGCCAACCTCGGCGCGCCTCTCCTTGAGCGGGGGCCCGCCTCCAGCCTGTCCTGCTGCTGTTCCTCCTCTTTTTTGCGGTAGGCGTTAGGCAGACTTTGAGCGGGGCTCGTAGAGTCGTGCAGTGTGACTCTTATGGGTGAAGGATGGCCCTGAGGTAATCGCGCGCGCCTTACAATGACATGGTGCACCAGGGTGCCGAAACGTGAGAAGAGAGAGAGAGAGAGAGACGATGAAGTGTGGAAAAGGGAGATCGCTGGGGAGCTTAGTCAGGATGCCCTGACAGACTGCTGATACTCCTCCTCCTCCTCCTGCTCTTCCTACTCCTCCTGCTCCTCCTCCTCTTCCTCCTCCTCCTCCTCATCATCATCATCATCATCACCATCATCACCATCACCATCACCATCACCATCACCATCACCATCATCATCATCATCATCATCATCATCATCATCATCATCATCATCATCAGCATCAGCATCATCATCATCATCATCCCCCTCGCCCTCGCCCTCCCCCTCCCCCTCCTCCTCCTCCTCCTCCTCCTCCTCCTCCTCCTCCTCCTCCCCTGCGCCGCCCAGCTCCTGGTGCTCCACGCCGCGGGATCGCAGGTGCTCCAGCCTGGCGGGCGGCGGCGGCGACCGGAGGCCACCCAGCAGGTCGGGGGCGTCCACGGGGGGGGCGTCCATTGGGGGGGGGGCGGGGGGCGTCCATGGGGGGGGGCCGCAGATCATGGCTCGATGCCCGTGCTCGAAGAAAGGTACTGATACCGCTACCCTCGCTTCGTTTTCGCCATTTTGGGCCTCCTGGGAGGCCCTCGTCGTCACCGCTGCATTCGCCTCGAAATTCTGGTCAGAACACACTCCAGGAGAGGTCCTCGGAGTAGCGGTATCAGGGTACCTGTTTGTATCCCCAAACGAGGGGGGACCAGGGGACGCGTTGATAGAAGAAGAAGAAGAAGAAAATAATAGTAAGAAGAAGAAGAAGAACAAGGGGCCATCACATGCGCCTCCCCATCCGCCTTCCGCCCCGCGCCTGCTCACTTCCGTTTCCTTCCGTGACTGCTCGTTCTCCCGGGCTCTCTGCTTGCCGTCCGCAGTCTTCCTTCTACTTGTTCCCTCCATTGGCTCGCTCCCTGTTGGCGATATCTCGTGCGGCGCTTCTGGCTTGCCTGGCGGTCTTCCGCCTGACGTCGTGAGGCCAATTACGGTGTGTCTCTTGTGGAAGCACACAAAAGCAAGCACCGTCGGGAGAAAATCTCCATGCACCTTCGATCGTCCTCCCTCCTCCCTGCTCCCCTTCCCTCGTCCTTCCCCACTCCTCCCGCTTTCTCTCCCCGCTCCCCTGGCAGGGAAGTATCTGTCGCCAGGCAATTCATTCGTCTTTCGCTCCCGCACCCTCGTCGTCGCCCTCGTCGTCGTCGTCGTCGTCGTCGTGATCGTCCTGGCCAAAACCAAATCAAAATCAGCCCCCAGACTCCTCCAGGGGTCCATCCAAACAATCGTTTCATCTGGGATCGATGTCTGACGGTCCAATGGCCAGCAAGAAAACGGCCCCCAGGGGCCGAAATCGAGGAAGACCATCCGACCATCAAAATTAGTCGTCGTCGTCGCCGTCGCCGTCCCCGTCGTTGTCTCGCCGTCGCCATCGCCGTCGCCGTCGCGGCGTTGCTCCAGGCAGCCCGCGTGGGGTTGAGACAGATAGGATCGGTGGATCGCGCCGTACCTCAGAGAGCGAGAACGAAGCGCCGAAGGACCCCATGGGGCAGACCAAGAAAGACGAGGACCAGAGAGCAAAACTATCAGAACAGCATCGGAGAAAGGGCAGGGAAATTATGCTGGCATCGGTGGCAAAGGGTTGACCGCCCAAGAAAAACACGGCATCAAGAACATTATAACCGTAGGCAAAAGATCTGCCGCCATGTAGCGAAGCACCGAGCGGAGTGCCCTCCAGGCCATTCGAGTTCTCTGTGATCTGGATGCCTCCCGAGGGCCACGAGACCGTAGCATGAAGAAAGGCAATGTTCTACATAACTACACCTCGTTTATCGCGCGACCAAGGGGCGCGGCCTTCTGGGAGGTTTTTCAAAGTGGCCAAGTGGAGGGCGACGGTCAACTTGGGCACCAGCGACAAGGCAATCCTCAGGAAGGGTGACAACAGGGAAGGAGAGATGAGTGAGCAGAGAGCAGGAAAAAGGCAAGGAGGCTCTGAGAGGAACAGCACCAACCGCACGCAAGCAGGCAAAATTGAGGTCCCCAGGACGAGACTGATCCGGCGTCGGGTAAGCTGCTGGAGCCTCGCCCGTCTCTCTGCATTGGATACCCCCAACACCTGCGGAAGATATTGAGAGAGAGAGAGAGAGAAACAAACAAAAAGAGAACGCGGGCGCACGCGAGGAGGAGCTGGCGGATCAGGTGGGCGATGAGCCGCTCGGGGATACCTGGCACGGGCGCGGAACCTCCTCTCCCTCCCTCCAGAGTCGCTCAGAAAGGCTTGTTCCTGGAACCCTGAATCCGAACACGGTCACATCTCTTGAGGACGCATCTTTCGCTTCGCGGGCTTTCCGCCAGCTTCCGTCGGTGGAGGCGCCCACTTTTGATTTCCTCCAACCTCCTGTCGCTTTCCGCCGAGGAAGAGATGTCAGTTTCTCCTGCCCTCGATGCAGAAGCCGTTTATGAAGCACCACAAATCAATACTACATCCCCTCTGACATTACCCATAGGGTTCCTATCTCTCCAGCGTGGACTTCTTCCATACGAAGTCAACGAGTTTGCCTTCCCTGTGCCTGTTCCAATCGAAACATCTTCGGCCATCGAGAATGACGGTCCCGCTGCAGCGTTTGCCTAATTACTACAGCGGTGCAGTCCTTGCGTCACTCAGAATGGCGATCTCGCCCACGCGTGGGCCACTGTCCCGGATCCGACTCCTTCCTCGTCGTTGTCGTGCCTCTTTCCCCTCTTCGTCCTTCTCTTGCTGCAGCTGCTGCAGCTTCTCCTCCTCCCCTCCCTCCCCCTCCCCCTCCCCCTCCCCCTCTTCCTCCTCCTCCCCTCCCCCTCTCCTCCTCCTCCTCCTCCTCCTCCTCCTTCTCCTCCTCCTCCTCCTCCTGCTGCTCTTCCTCCTCCTCCTGCTCCTGCTCCTCCTCCTCCTCCTCCTCCTCCTCCTCCTCCTCCTCCTTTTCGACGCTGCGTGAAATCAAGCCAATTTGCTGGAGCGCTCGGGAGGGCAAGAACAATGTTGCCGATTCAGGCGCAGCGCGACAAATTAAGCGTGGTCGGCGAAGCAGGAACAGGACAGCTCCTGAGAGACAAGCGTAAATAATCCAGGCCCAACGGCTCCTCCCCCTCCTCCTCCTCCTCCTCCTCCTCCTCCTCCTCCTCCTCCTCCTCCTCCTCCTCCAGCTCCTCCTCCTCCTCCTCCCTCCTCCTCCTCCTCCTCCTGCTCCTCATCCTCCTCCCCCTCCCCCTCTCCTCCTCCTCCTCCTCCTCCTCCTCCTCCTCCTCCTCCTCCTCCTCCTCCTCCTCTCCCCTTCTCCTCCTCCTCCTGCTCCTCCTCCTCCTGCTCCTCCTGCTCCTCCTCCTCCTCCTGCCCTCCTCCTCCTCCTCCTCCTCCTGCTCCTCCTCCTCCTCCTCCTCCTCCTCCTCCTCCTCCTCCTCCTCCTCCTCCTCCTGCTCTTCCTCCTCCTCCTGCGCACTGACCAGAGGAAGAAGGGGCGAGGTCCCTCGATCCTGGCAAAACTGGAGGGGGGGCCCATCGGAGCGAGACCCTGGGCCTCCTGGCCCCGGGGGGGCCAGCCCCGCGCGCACGCGGGGGGCGCAGCGCGGGGCCGTGGCCGCGGCATGACGCTCCAGGATAGGAGGGCGACCAGGCCTGGAAGCGGTCACTCTTCGGCAAGGCCGTCATGATCAAGTTTGTTTTTCGATCGTGCGCCGGCGGCCAAGGGCATAGTCCGGTGAAGCCCGGGGAAAAGCACTTCAATTGAAAAATACAATGGTTTTCAATTGAAAGGTCGTCAAGATCAAGTGTGGCAAGCTCGTGCAGCAGGCTCCGCCCGCACCCGGTGGGCGGCTGGACGCTAGGGCGGCCCGCAGACGGACTGGAATGTGTGGCCCAGGAGATGGCTTCCTAGGCCGGGGAGTTCTTCGGTCAAGTCGTCATGGTTAAGGGCGTGATGCAGTCTGAATTCGTCGAGGCTCGAGTCGGGCTCCGTCAACAACAAGGCGTCCGAGGAGACCTGAGTTTTGGGTTCTGGGGAGGGGGCCCCCTTACAGAGCCGACCCAGGGTTACGGCCTCCCCGCGTGTCGGCGGCGGGTATAAACCTGGGGGCGCCTTGGGCGCGCCTGCGGGTAGCAGGCTCCAGGGAGGGAGCCCCCTCCCTTCGCGGGACGCGAGGGATTTTGGTTCATGATCTTATCCACCTTATCCACCTCCTCCTGCTCCTCCTGCTCCTCCTGCTCCTCCTGCTCCTCCTGCTCCTCCTCCTCCTCCTCCTCCTCCTCCTCCTTCTCTTCCCCTATCGTACAACAGCCCCCCCCCTGCTTGCACAGCAAACGCTGGGTGAAGCCCTGCGACTGCCTTTGCGAGATCACGGTCTACCACAACCCCGCTCGGCGGATGGATCGTAGTTCAGCGCAGTGGGATGGGTTAGGTGGAAGGGGCGGATGTCAGCTGCGGCGCGAACGCACATGGCTTTTCTCTCACCCGCTCTCCTCTCTCCTTCTCCTCCTCTCTCCCTGTCTCGTTATCCCTCCCTCTCTCTTTTATATGTACCGCTCTCTCTCTCTCTCGTTCTCTGTCTCTCCTTCTGTCTTTCTCTTTCTCCTCTCTCTCGATCTTTCGTTATTGCAGTTGTTCTCTCTCTCTCTCTCTTTCTACCGAGCGTGCCTCGACTGCGCCCGCCCCCGAACTCCACCTCCTCCTCCATGCCATCCGATGCAGGCCTCAGAAATGAGGCCACATCAGATGGGGCCCAAGGGTCGCACTGCGTCGACGGTGCATCGACTGAGACGTAGGCAGGATGAGGACCGACCCGGAGGAAGGCAAAACAAGGAACGCTCTGGAAGGATGCATCCTGGCCCGAGGCCTGCCTGATTGGAGGCCTCCGAGGCACGAGCAGGTGGATCCGTGGATCGCACTGCGCCGCCGATGCATCGGCGACGCGGGATTGACCTAATCGGGCTCCGGGTCGCGCCCGATCGCCAAGGCATCGGCGATGCGGCGCGATCCTCCGACCTCCTCTGTTCCGGCAACTGTTCGGCTGAGGGGGAGCGATCGCGGGCCGACTGGCTCAGGGGCGGGAACCTCCTCAGCTGCGTTTAAGGAGGAGGCGGAGGAGGAGCGCGCGACCATATGATCTCGAATCGCTGGGGCCGATGTCACAGTGCGAATTGAAAGGTCGCAAGGCAAACCGGGAACTCCACACGAGCCGGCCTGCTATAGGCATCCTCATGGAGTGAACCGTGGCCAGAGAGAAGAAACAGTACAATACAACGCCGCACGGATGAGAAAGAGGAGGGGGGAGGGGGGGAGGGAGGAGGCGGAAGAGGAGAACTTCGCTTTCGCGCATTCGCGGTCTCTTGTCTCTTGTTTGGCTCAGGGGCGACAACATGGAGCTAGGATCGGCGATACGTCGCCGAGATTTCGCGGAGTGGGCCAGCGGGTCCCTCTCGACGACGAATGGGCGCCTGGGGCTCGATGCATTCCCCCCTTACCTGCCCCCACCCAACGATGCCGCCCCTGATGATTGAGAGGCCTTGGTCAGAGGCTTGCCACAGAGGAAGACCGTCGTCGTCATCCTTGGGCCGCGCTGGCCATGGCCGCAAGACAGGCGAGGCACCGCCGTTGCCGTGCTCCCTCGCGTAGAGGTCGTAGAGCGTGGCGCCGTCGCCTCCGCCCAGGTCTGCCGTGCTCTCCTCATCCCGCAGCTGCTGCTCCTCCAACGCCGCGCCCTCTGGAGCATCATCATCACCACCACCATGATCGTCATCACCACCACCATCATCAGCATTCACAACGAAAGCCTAAACATCAACATCAACATCAATCTCAATATCAACATCAACATAATCCTCATCACTACCATCACCAGCACCGTCAT